GGTCTCTTTGGGGTATATTCCCAGTAGTGAAATTGCTGGGTTTTGTATTTGCTTTTGAGTAATTGTTGACTGGTCTCTGCTATTTTGCTAAGAGATGGTCTTCAGGAAATAAGGTTGGTTTTAAGTTTAAAAAGTATCTTCCAGAGTTTTTTTTCTGCTGTAGCTCCTCCCACACACCCCCACTCCTTAAGTAAAAATATTAGGTACCATTCATGTTGTTTCCTTTCCATCTGGGACTAGCTCTTGTGCCTCTAGTCAGATGCTGAGCAAGCACCATCCAGGTCTTCTGGTTCAGGGTTGATGAGATTGTCTATCTCATAGATCTGTGCTTTCTCTTCTTATTTGGTCTTTCTGTTTTGCCCCTGGAACGTAGAGACCGTTCCTGTGTCCTCAAAGCATGTCCACAGGCTTTTAGGACCACACACATTACTCCCTCCACTCTGGTGCAGATCATGGTTTGGATGAACTGTCCAACATCGTTGACTGAGTTTTGCTGTGAGACTGTGGGCCTAATGCTTCAAAGTCAAAAAGTTTGGAAGGTGTTTGCTTATGTTATAGGAGTGTCCTTTGTGTCTTCAGTGAATGTGTGCTCAAATATAAAAAATGTTTGTGCTCAAGTATTTATGTTTACACACATCTTATAGCCACTTCGTAGGGAATTCTAGTGGCCTAGTGGTAAAGAGTTGTACTGCCAACCCAAAGGCAGGGTGCTCACATCCACCAACCACTCCATGGGGGTAAGATTCTCCTGTGTGACTTAATAGCCTCTGAAAACCCACTGGTGGGTCACCTGTGAGTTCATTCCAACTTGATGGCACATGAAAATAACAAAAACATAGCTCTTTCATAGAGCCTGGTGGCCTGGATCATAGGGAGTTGCACTACTAACTCAAAGGCCATGTTTCTTTGGTGATTTCAGTCCAACAGGGGCTCTGCAGGAGAAAGACAGTTCTCCTGTGCAATCTTCAGCAATGGATAAGGATTCTTTCTCTCCATAGCCCCATCACTTCTTGTTATCCTTTTTTCAGTGACATCTTAGTTTGAATGAAATGATAACTCCTTGTAGTTTTTAACCTCTGGTGACTAGTGGATATGAACATCTTTTCATGTGTGTGTGGGCTGCTTCAGGGTCCTTGGTGAAGGCTCTATTCATATCTTTAGGGGCAGTTATATTTCTTTTTAATTCTAGAGCATGAAGAGTTATTGTACCTGGTTATATTTCTTTTATAAAATTGTTTTTTCTGGTTATAAGACACGATGTAAAAACCTTTAATCTGTTTTCAAGTGACAAATCAGTGGCGTTAATTATATCCACAATGTTGTGCATCCATTACCACTGTCTACTCTCAAACCTTTAGTCATTTGAAACAGATAAACTCTGTTAAGCCATAAGTCTCCATTCTTCTCAGATGCTAATAACGTCTAATCTACTCTGTCTGATTACCTAGTCTAGATATTATATGCAAGTGAAATCATATAATATTTTTCTTACTGTGTTTTAAACATGATGCTTTAAAGGGTCATGTATATCATAATGTATTTGAGAACTTTCACTTTGGTTATATTTTAATTCTCCATTTAGCTGTTGATGTATACTTGGATAGTTTTCATCTTTTGATTATACAGTTACTTTTTAAATATTTAACTTTTTCCCTTGGTAAAAGGAAGCTTTTTAATAAATCCTTCCTGCTGCCTTTAAAACCTTTTATTTTAGTGGGAAATGCAAATATCTTTGTCTTATTTCAGTATTGCTTTACCACTTAATTGGATTAACAGTATTGCTTGAAATATGGTTCATAATAGCTGTGAAGTTAACCAGAGAAGTCTCTTTTCTGTCTATCTTTATGTTGCCTTTTCCAGTTTCAGCCCAGCCTTTCTGACTTGGTTGGTCTAGCTCATCGAAGTAAACGTAGACCCCAGCTGCTTCATTGAGGTGTGCTTGAGCTCCCTGAACCACTTCTCAGCTTCCTCCCTGACTTGTTGATTCTGTTTTGGTGGTCTTTTTCAAAAATTTATCTGTAAGGCTTGCATGGAATTCTGGCGTTAGCACTTTCAATAATAATAATAAATATCTGATTGACAGTAATATGTTAATCTTACATTTTACAATGTTTTAAAGGTCCCAGCAATCCTGGAAAACCAAGATAAAGTTGATTCTGACTCAGAAGATTCTGGAAGCTCTGAGTACCCTGATGTAGACTCTGAAGGGCAGGGGGACCATGCCTGCTCTAAAAAGTACACCACTGATCCAGAGCCTGATAAAAAGGTTAGCCTAGAGCTGAAATACTTTTTTTCTTCAAAATGGTAGTAACATACTCCTGATCTGGGTTTTAAACACTTTGCTGCTAGCAGGGCAGTTACTTGAATCTACCTTTGTGTGAGCCATGTGTCAGTTCTAATTCCACGGCAATGACTTGACTGACTGACTGACGGAGGCTTGAAGGGCTTTGGTGGTATAGTGTGTTACTACTCACCAGAAGGCCATTGGTTCAAACCTAGGAACTGCTCTGCAGAAGAAAGAAGGGCAGACTCCTTGAGAAAAGATTTACAGCCTTGAAAGCTTAATCGAGCGCCATGTGTAAACCCAACAGAGAGAGTGGATCCTTGGGGAGAAAAACCTGATGATGTTCAGATGCTGTACCGATTATAAACTAGTAAACCCTGTAGGATAGTTCTGCTCTTTCCTGAGGGGCACTGCTAATTGGGATTGAATTGACATTATCCAGTGAAACAATCTTAGTTGGGTTTTTTTTTTGTTTGTGGTTTTTTTTTTTAACCATGTGACTAATACTTTTCAATCTTAGTTTTTTAAGTATGAGCTTTGCTTTTGTTGGTAACATGTAGAAATTTGACGTCTATTAGGAATTCTTTTGACTCTTCATAAGCTGTGTCACGCTAAATCCAGTACATTGGTTGAAAATTATTTGTTCATATGAGGCCACAATGGTGCTAGAATTGACTTTTGGTGAAATACTGAAAAATCAGTTATTCTTGGTTTTATCCCATGTGCCTTATAAAATTTTAATCCTAAATTTGCTAGTTTATTTTCTCTATATTACTAGAAAGAAAGATTTCTACTAGAATGAGAGTCCCTCTCAATATTTATTTTTTTCTTACAACATGGTACTTGTAACAAAAATCATTGCAGGTCATTTAATAACAGAGATTTTTTTTTTGTCTTCGTGTATCTGTGAAAACAATTCATAGACCTTTTCCACTTCCTCACCCAACCTAAATTCTACCTCCAAGCCATAGTTTTTATATTATACTCCACTTTTTCCTGATAATCATGTATACTTTTTAAGATTTACTTATAATAGTATATGCATACTCTGTTAATAAAATTTCTTTTCTACAGGAAAGGAAAAAACTGGTGAAGGAAGCCCAGAGAGAGAAAAGAAAAAACAAAATTCCTAAACATGTGAAAAAAAGAAAGGAAAAGACAACGAAGAAGAAGAAAGGCAAATAAATTCAGAACTGTATTGTGTACAACCATTTCCCATCAGTTACTTTTTCTTATGTAAACCTCTACGCTGCATTTAGAAGATTGGCTATTGATTTTAACCAAATTATCTATGAAAACCAAGTCAAGTGTTGTTATGTAATTATGTACAAAAGCTTTTAAGTTCTGTTGTCAAGGTCCATTTATTGGCTTTATCTGGTATTGATGGAGCACTTATTTAAGTTTCCATTTTAGTGAAGATCTTTATACATATTTTTTCTCCTGCTTAAGCATCGAAAATATTTAAATACAGTCAGCTCTGTTGGCTTAGTGTTAAGGAGTTGAACTGCCAACTCCAGAGGTACACAGTTTGAATCAGTAGGAAGATGTACGGTCTCCTTGGCTCTGACTTGACAGCCCAGAAGAACAACAGTAACAACAGCCTCATCTGTAACCTTTACGTAAGTGTGAAGATAAACTGGAAAATTAATTTTGTTTTGTTTGTACACACCATCTCAAATAATTTCCTTTTTAAGACCATAGTTTTATATGAAGAGAACTTCACTTACAAGTGAATTCCTTAGGCTCTAAATGGACTTATTTATGCAACTCTTATGTAAAATTGATGATCATTTATAGAACACATATTCTTTATATTTAATAAACTTTTAAGCTAAGACTTCCCAGCTAGAGGTATTTTCTGTATGCTGCTATAAACCATTTGACGTGTTCATTCATTCATGAATATGAGTGCTGTAGGCATACAATAGGAAACCAAAGAGAAAAAAAAATCATCTACCTCCAGGTAGTTTCTGTTTTAATAGAGACAGTGTATCAGCAGGTGCACGATTATTTTCTAGAGAGGAATAATGCAGAAAAGAGAATGCTTAGGGATGTGTGGCTTTGTAATTTCTTTAAATAATAATCTCAGAAAAACCACCCAGAAGAGATAATGTTGTTGTTGTTGTTGTTGTTGTTGTTGTTAAGTGCCGTTGAGTCACAGGTGACTCATAGCAACCCTCTGAAGGAGAGTCCTCGACGCTTGGGTGCCTTTCATCCTCTCTCCAAGTTCACAGGGTTTCCAGAGGCACGCTATTATGGAAGTGGATGCCACTCCTCCTTCCACGCTTGTTTAATCGGGGAGCTCCACCCCACTCTCAGTCCACATTGGATAGCCAACCATTAATGCATTTGACACATTCGTGTCACAGTGTTCAGCCTCACAGCAACCACACGTGACCGCGGGATGGCAGCTTGTACACCAGGGCTATATGACCTAGAGGAATGTCTGAACAAAAACAAGAGATAATGCTTGAGAAAATTTTTGAAGAGAGTATTTCAGAAAGGAGGAGAATTTCAGGCAGGTAAGCCTCTAGTACAAAGGCTAGGGGCAGACTGTGCCTTACAAATTCTAGAAATGTGCTGGAGTAGTAGAATCCCAGCACATAATCGGGGAAAAGCAGTAGAAGAAATTGGTTGTGCAGGTCTCTAAGTGAGAAGCGACATCTGGAGGGTTTTGAGCAGGGTGTTAGAACCTGTCTTCTGTTTTGAAAGGTTCTCTCTGGTCTCTGGAGTGCTGACTATAGAGCTAGGCTGGAAGACCAAGTGAGTGATGATGGCTTGGACAGACATGGTGGTAGTGGAATTGGACAGACATGGTGGTAGTGGAATTGGAAGGAAGGATTTGAATTTAGAGAGAACCCAAAGATAGAATGAATTTGTGTATGCTAAGAGTATAGATGAGGAATATGAGAGAGGTCAAGGTTTATGATCTAAGCTCAGAAAGGAAGGAATGCCCATTAATAATGGTGCGAAAGAGTGTGGATGGGGTAGGTTTGAGTGTAGGAGGATGAAGGGAACTCTGGTAGCCTGATGAATAAGTTGTTGCCAGTCCAAAGGCATATGGTTCAAACCCATAAGCTAATACAGGAGAAAGATGGACAGTCTTCTCCCATGTGATTTACAGCTTGAGGGTCAGCTGTGAGTTGGTTCTGAAGACACACAAGAAGAAGTACAAATAGTGAAAAGAATCATTTGGTTTGTTGTTTGTATCATACACTTTGTACTAGAAAAGGGAGCACTGGATAGTGAATAGGGAGTTGGCACTGCCAATCCCAGATTAGTCTGTTCGAATCTATGAGCTACTTTAAGGGAAGAAGATGGATAGGGCAATCCCCAGTGCACTTGACTGGCTCTGAAAACCCCCTGTAGGATCGTGAGTTGTTGAATTGTCTACTAGAAATGGCTATTTTAGCTATTACATTCAAAAACATTTTGTAGAAATAAAACTCATTTCCTTGGGGCTTTGGGACATACCAACTGAACATGTAAAATTGTCAAGTAGGAACCAACTCATAGTTAACCCTCAAGCAGATTTTCAGAGGCAGTTGAGAGCACGGGAAGAAATTGCCCATTTTTTCCCCGTAGAGCAGTTGGTGGATTTGTACCCTGTGCTTTTGGGTTGGGGTTGCAACCCTTATCACTAAGCCATCAGAGCACTTTCAGTAACAAAAGTAGTCTCTTGAAAATATAACTACTGGGCTGCCCTCAGTCCCCGGCTCAGGGTGAGCCGCCGCGGCCCTCTGCCTGGGGCAGGCTGCCCTCAGCCCCCGGCACGGGGTGAGGCGTCGTGGCCCTCTGCCCGGGGTGGGCTGCCCTCGGCCTCCGGCTCGGGACGAGCCATCGCGGCCCTCTGCCTGGGGTGGGCTGCCTGCGGCCCTCAGGGTGAGCTCCTCAGTCCCCAGTTTGTGCCATTGTCCCCAGATTGACCCCAGGGTGGGGAAGGAGGAAAAAAAAGAAAAGAATGCCTAGGGTATCCAGTATTACCTAGGCCACCTTCTGCCACCCTCCCCCCCAGTAAACCTGAAAGCAACACCCTCAAAGCCCTTCTATTTGTAACTCACAAGTTTGTTCTCTCTAGGTTTGCTCCCTTTCCTATAGGTAACCTTAACTCTAAGTTTTACTCCAGAATTGACCCTGAACCCAGTGCCAGTGACAAAAAGGAAATACAACTGACAGCTAAGGAAGCAAAGGAGGATGGAGCCTCTGGGTTCAACCAGCCATCCCCACTGGACCCACCTGGGAAAGCCCTTTGCAGTCCAGAGGGGAGCAAATGACAGGAAAATATCTTCTAACAGAGCAAGAAGGCAAGCAGCTTTAACCCAAGACCACCAGTAAGGTGATAAAGCGTCCTCCCTTCCCCCCTTTACATCTATGCCCCTGTTCAGCATGAAGAAGCCAGATAGTCGGCATCCAATTCCCATATCAATAAGACAGTTGGTTTAATTACCATTGGAAAATGCTTGTCATTCCTCTGTAGTATCTGGTCCCCTCTGGACCCTCATCATTTCCTTCACCTGCTCCCCTCACCGACCAAGCTGTGCAGCTCTGCAACTGCATCCTGGCCCATCCTCACCCTTCTGCCCCCAACCCTCACCTCCTTGTACCCCCAATATGTTTTCCCAATAAAAAAAAAGAAAATACAACTACCAACAAAAACCAAAAGCAGGCTTACAGACTAGAGGCTTTGTGCTTATTTTGGTTTTACTGTCTGACGAAGTGTGTTCTCATCAGGAACTTAAGTTCTTCAGAGCTAGCTTTTGATTTTGCAATTTCTAACTTTGGAATCTCTTTCACTTAGACAAAATTAGTGTCGGCACAATTACGGACAGTTCCTCCCTTTACATAGCTGCTCGGCAGAGTAGCTCTGTAAAGTATTGTGGTTATGCTGTAGGACTGTAACCTGAGGGATGTTCACTTGATGATGTGTTTGCTTCCCTATCTGGATTACTGTTTGGGAAAGTAGACTGTTAGGCAAGTATTCAGGGTTACTTGGTGACTTTTCTGAACAGATTTTATTGTTAATGGATCATTGATGTTATAGGCATTTTTCCATTAGGAGACAAGAGGTTTAGTCTCTTAGTCCAAAGCCAGGGACACTATTTTGGCAGTTATATCTGATATTCTATCTTATTTTGTTAGTTTTCTAGTCCCTCCAGAGACTGGAGATGTTTTGAAAAGTCCTGTGAGAAATTAGAATATTTTAGTATAAAGCACAAGATCACAGCTGCTTGCTGTTTTACTGTAATTCTCATGCTTCCTTTGATGAAGCAATTCAGGAACAGAACTTTTCACCTGCGTGAGGAGAAACCCACAAGTTCCAGCATTTGAGTGTTTTCTTCTGAGTGGAGATAGGAATTGTGGCAGCTGTTTGCTTAGGTCTGATTAAGTATTCCTGGATGATTGGTTTGTGGCTGCCAAAGTTGTCTTTACTTTTAATTGGTTAACTCTATGAAGATGAACTCAAGAATTGGGAAACTTTACAGTTTGACTCTGTTATTTGAAAATACACCTACATTTCATGGGTATTATGCTTAATTCAGAGCAAATAAATTTCTCGCTCTTAGCTGTGAGGCTCTCTTGTACTATGACTTCATCAGAAAATGAAGGAAGTGATTAAATACATGGCTCTTTTAGAAGCAAGGAAGGAACATCTAAAATAGGGCCTTTGAGCCAACTTTTCTATAAAGTTTCCTGACAGTTTTTCAGATGCTCAGTTTGTTGGTGAAGACTTCGAGTATTCAGAGCTTTGGTTTCTGAAATGTTCTTTTTGGTGATAGAGTTACAGGGATCAGTAACTTGAGCAAATTCTACTCAGGTTTGTGTGAAGGTTTTCTGTGATTGTGTTAAATGGGTAAAGTTTTCAATTACAGGTGATAAGACTCACCACATTCTATCCGTTGAATCAGATTGATATTGTTATATGCCATCAAGTTGGAGGCTGTAAATATTACAAGGGTTGAATGCCTATCTCACAGAGAAACGGGTGGATTCAAACTGTCTACCTTTGAGATGGCAGTGCAACTCCTTACCTGCGAGGCCACCACAGCTCCCTAGAATTATCGACATTCCCTGCATTTTTATTAGAATTTTTAAAAATACATCTATTTTGTATTACCTGAGAAGGAAGCTTAAATGTTTCAGTAGAAACTTCTAAGGTAGTTTGTGAAGAGGGGGATGGCTATTTA